AGACTCCTTAGAGCCGGCTCTACTTGTTGTGGGAGCCGGCTCCCACTTCTATGGAGCCGGCTCTCACCTCCTTTGAGAGCCTTCAGTCCCCGGTGCTTCGTTTCAATCTGTTTGCTCTGTCTCTGGACCATCCCTACCACTCTGTTGATTTCTAAAACTCATCTTAAGAGTCTTATAACACCCTAGTAACATTCCCATGATTCATTTACAGAAGTTGAAATCAAATTAAAACTAAATTTGTTACCGTAACAAAACATGTTTTAGGAACAAAACTGAAACTATTTTGCAATATCAATTCCATTCCAATCCCCTCTGTTCCTCTTCACTACTGAACTTAGGAGTCTTATCTAATCCCAGTAGCATCCCAATCATTCATTTACAGTTGTTGAAAGAAAATACAGTAACTAAAATTCCAATAGAATTTACATGCTTTAAGGAACCAAAACTAAACAGACCTGCATGAATTGTAATAGATTTAATTTCAACAACGAACAGCCATCAATATAGCATATATTAACCATGTAAATTCCAGTTCCTGATTAATTAAACCCTAGAGACTATCTAGGTGCACAGAACACAAGCCAAAGGAAAGGAGGAAGAAAAGAACTTGCCTTTCGGTTTCGGTTTGAAACCTTTCAACGTCGTCTTCTTCCTAGACTTTTCGGCGATCGTGATCGCCGTCAAGAATTCCTCTGCTCCGGTTCTAACCCTCAAACAGCCCTCAAGCTTCTTCCTTAGTCCGGCTTACAATCTTTGGCTCAAACCCTACCTTCCTCTCCTTCAGTTTTTCCCTTAAACTCTCTGTTTCACTCTCTGTATTTTCACTATTCGTGAATAAGGTTTGTGCTTACAACCCTAAGCAGACCCTTATTATTTTATTTATAGGCTTAGGAAAAGATATTAACCCTAATTTTACTTTAATCGTAGAGACGAAAATCAACAATTCCTTACATCTCTAAGACGGCTTAATTAAACAAGGCGGCTTTATTCAAACGTGACAGTAAAGAGACAAAACCCTAATAATTTAACCTATTTAATTAAATATAAAAAAAACAATTAACCAATTAATTAAAACCACAATTAAATTACATAAAATAATTAACCAACAAAACAATTCAAAAACAACCCAAATGACAATTAAATCAATTAAAGACTAAGCAATTAAATAAAATAAAGAACGAACAAATAATTTAATCAATTAAACCTAAACACATATCCACATAAACACATAAAACACTTAAAATAAATAGTAAAATTTTAATTATATCCTTTTTAATTTTAGGGGTATTACATATTTTCTTTCTAATTCCTTACTTTGATGGAAAGTACTAAAAGAAAAACTAGTCCTCTCTCTGCCTTTATAAAAGTGCATATACTCCATCAATTATGTACGATTAAGGATACAACACGTGAAAGTTTTATGTGTGCAAGAGGCCAAGAGAGAGAAACCAGTTTCTGCCTTTGCCTATTGATCAGAGTTGCAGATTGGTTGTGGTTAAAGGATCTGGACGTTGAATTTAATCCCAATAAGGTTTGATATCATAAATAGAGGTATGTATATCTAACTATATTTATTTATGCGTTATAAGGATGTGAAATTAATTGAAGTTCTAAGATCTAGGGTTTTATGATAATTTGTGATTAAAGTCTAACACAAATTTAATTAGAGTTTACAACAATATCCTTCCAATCAAAGTCTCACATATATATATATATATATATATATATATATATATATATATATTTAAAAACTATTCACTTTTCTATTTTATTTTTTTAAAAAAATAAGAAACCTTTGATTGAGAGTGGTACACTCATGTGTCAAAATACCTTCTGAGCTTCTCATTTTTCTTGAAACTCATTTACCAAAAAGATAAAATTTTGATTAGAAATGACTCCCCATGTCAAAAGAAAGTTTTTATTTTTTCCTGTCCAACCCAAAAGAGGATAAAGTTGAGGCATAAATGATAAAGTTGAGGAGGGAGCACAGTAGAGTAGAGTTTTTGGCAAGTTTTTGAAACCAAATGGGGTAGAGTACCATTTGACTATTTATTTATTTATTTTTAAAAAGGAGGTCAACTCAATCAACTAGACTAATCGGGTTAACAAACATAACCTGAAGTCAGGATAGGTTTGGGTTGGCCTTCGGTGACCCAAACTCAAGTTAGTTTCATTTTGGGGTCAAACAACTTGGAACCCTAACAACGACATAACCATTCATTTACTCCATTATTAATTATTATTATCTCTTATAATCAGGGGCGAGGTTAGGATTTTAATTCGAGAGTAGACGCAATGTAAAAGAAAATATATATATATATATATATAATTTTTTAAAAAATAAATAAATAAAATAAAATAAAATCTACATACTATATAGATCATTCTTAAGAGCAAAAAGAAGAATGTTAAGAAATTGGGGGCCAAAAAAAAAATAAGAAGAAGAAGAAAGAAAAAGGGAAGAAAAATGAGAAATTTGAAAGAAATAAAAAAAAAATCGAGTTTTATAAAAATTTAACTTTTTTTTTTTTTTAAGAAAATCAAAGGAATATTAAGAGAAAGAAAAAGGAAAAAAAAATTTAGAAAAAAATTTTAGAAATTAAAAATTTTAGGAGAGGCATTATATAGAAATTTTCTTATAAATGTACAAATTAAAATAAAAATTAATATATTTTATAGTGGGCGGGGTCAAGTCGGGGGCATATGCCCGTCTGGGCACACACTGGCTCCGCCCCTGCTTATAATTAGGGTTGTGAATGATCTAGCCTAGAATTTTGCTGATCAAGCTCCAACTTGAGTTTGGTTGTCCCTTAAAGTAAGTATGCCAAGATTGATTGGCGAGGCAACAAGGATTAAGGAGAATGGAAAAGAGAAGTGTTGCCCATGGAAGAGTTAGTGATGAGTTGATTACTAATTCCTACTGGGGTGATAGGGCTAAAGTTAACACTCTTATCAGACAATCCCAATGGAGAATCAACAAGACTTTTCAGGCCACTGCTGCCACTGTTGGGACTTCTGAGGTGCTACCCACCATCAACACCAACTCTCCAGATAGAGTTATCTGGACCATTTCTCCCAATTGGTTCCTTCCACCTTAAGAGCACATATACTGCTCACCTCTCTCCTAGCCCAATGGTTAATTGGACACACGTTATTTGGCTCAAAAACCATATTCCAAGACATGCGTTTATTGCATGGGTTGCTATAAATCAGAGATTAAAGACTAAGGACAAGTCGAGATTCTCTAGAAGGACTTTTGATAGGAAATGCTCTCTTTATTCTGCAGAGGATGAGAATTATGATCATATTTTCTTTAACTGCCCCTACTCTAACCAAGTGTGGCAATTCTTCCAAAATAAATGTGAAATTTACACAGGTGAGCATGGTACTCAGGCAATTGCTATCTGGATGGCGAACCTGTGGGATTCAAATTCAACATCTCCCAGAGCTATAGCATACAAGCTTTGTTTTGCTGGATCAATTTATTACCTTTGGCAAGAAAGGAACAATAGAACTTTTTCTGGGAAACGGTTGCAAGCGAGTGAGCTCTGCAAGATGATTGATGATTGTGTGAGGTGCAAGCTCGCCACCATTAATTATAAGGATTGTGCAGCCTCGAGGTCTGTCGTTGCTGACTGGAGCCTCCCGAGCTCAGTGATCAATGTCATACCTCCTCAGGTTGCTTTGTAATCCTTTAATCTTCTCTCTCTCCCTGTTCTAGTTGCTACGTTTGATTTGTAGTGGCTTGACTGGGAGGTTGTTTCCTTTGGTTGGGAGTGTTTAGCCCTTTGTCTTGCCCTTGGGCTTTTGTTTGGTTGGGCCTTAGGCCCCTTGTACATCTCTTTATTTCTCAAATAAAATTTTACTTACCGATAAAATAAAAAAAAAAAGAGAAAAAAAATAATTTCTTGTGCCTTTTTTTCTTGGGGACTTTTTACTTGTAAATTTTATTTTATTTTAGGATGTGAAAAAAATATTCTAAATCATGTTACCAATAGGCTCTAACTCCTTTCCTTCGAGAAGAGTAAGTGTTTGAGCCTAGGTGATGCAAAAAAATTATAATGAGTGGGTTTATTTGTTTTAACTTTCAGAAATAAAAAAGAAACTTAGATAAACATTTAAAAAAAAAAAAAAGCCTGTTTCATACCGCGCTACTTGGGATTTTATGTGACAATTACTTCTAAAGGGTTCTATACTATTTCATGTGTCAGTCAAAATTTATCTATCACTATTACTTCTAGAGACACTAGTATTGTTCGACGTTAGATGTTCAAATTGTTAATGTTATAAATATTAAGATGTCAGTTATGTTTTCAAGATTATGTTGAAATTAGATATTTGATTTGAAGTGTGGTTAAATGAATTTTTTTTTTATTTAAAGGATAAACTTGTATATAAGAGAAGAAAGAATGTACATGAAGTCTCAATTAAAGGGAAGAAACATCAAAAGAGATACCACACACTTGGTACACCAAAACAATTTCCCTAACATGCAGTAGTAGCATGGTACAACCAAAACAATTTCCTAATATGCACCAGTAACTCTTCAAAGACAGACCATGTGTCCAAGGAACTGAATGTGTACAGCAGAGCAACAACTTCCCCATTCTAAGGGATCAGCAAAGTTTGACCACAACCCTGCTTAAATGATTTTTGATCTTGAATAATGTTCAAGAATTTTAATTAAATTGTTTATATAACAATTATATAAGTTTGGTTAGGTTTGCTTTCCTGGGTACATTTTAAAATGTTGTTATAGGGAGTAGAAACATTTATTTATTTTTATTTATTTTTTGGACACAAACAAATCCAGCCCGATTAAATTTGTCACGTGATTCGAAATGAAAGGATCCGAGTGAGAGAGGACCCGGTATTCTCACGGTGAAGATCTGAATGTGCGAGCACTTCAATTGCATGTAGTATAAAAAACGTCACGCACTCAAAAGTAAATCTTGGGTCTCAGTTTTTTAGGGTTTTGACGATCAAAAGAGAGGGTAACGATGTCCTCCTTCGAGAATCTACCTCAAGAACTCTTTACTGATATCTGCACAAGATTAACAATCAAGACTATCGTTCAAATCAGCTGCGTTTGCAAATCATTGAACGCTCTCATCAAGAACCCTAATTTCATCGCAGCACACACCAACAGAACGATTGCGGAGCCGGAGACGAACACTCCATTACTACTACTCAGGTACCACTCTCACCCCGAGGACAAAGAGCACTTCTCAATGCATTGCGACAACGAAACATTCGATGTACGTATGACTTTGGATAGTTCGCATATTATTTGCTCGCGTGGTTACTACAGGATAGTTGGTTCATGTAATGGTGTGATTTGTTTGTGCCGCGATTCATTAGGTATCACAAACGTTGTTGTTGTTTGGAACCCTACCATTAGAAAGACCTTCCGTGTTCCGATGGCACCTAGTTTACTATCGTGTCCTCTCCATGACAGCGTTGTTATACGGTTCGGATTCGATTCTTTGACTGACAACTTCAAGAGTATTAGAATGGTGAGTTTTTGGGATTCGGAGGCGAAGACTTATAGGGTTCCTGAGCTTGAGGTTGTGCTGTTGTTCCTCCATATGACTTGGCTGACGTCATCACTCCCCATGATTGTTCGCATGTTTTTCTTAAAGGGGCTTCCCATTGGGTAGCATTTGAGCGGGGAATGGAAGAGAATCGCTATTTGATTTTGTCGTTTGATATGGCTTCTGAGGTTTTCGGCGAGATGGTGCTTCCCGGTTGTGTTGCTAATGGCATTGGGTTGCAGATGTCAATTTCAGTTTTTGGGGAATCTCTATCCCTATTCGAGTATGATAGTTTTGGGGGATGTTCTATATGGGTGATGAAAGAGTATGGTATTGCGGAGTCTTGGACGAAATTATTCAGTTTTAAGAGTTACATAAGGAAGGTTTTAGGATTCAGGAAAAATGGTGAAATTGTTGCGGCAAAGAGTTACATAAATCTGGTTTCATTCGATCCTAAGAGCAAACAAGAAGTCAATCTTGGAATGTGTAGGTCTAAATACAAATACTCATCCCTTATACGGAGAGCCTTGTTTTACTTGATGGAAAAGATCAAGGCTTATTGAACCCTTGATCATATCACATTGTTTCCCTAATCTTTTGCCACCATATTTACTTGGTCGCCATTATTATCTCTTATACTTTGGGGTTGTAGACGACTGAGCGGTGGAAACTCAAGTTTGGTTGTCCCTTAAAGTGAGGATGCAAATATTGTGAGCTAGCCTTGCTTTCTTTTTCTCTTTCTTTTTCGGACTTTTTACTTGTAACTTTTTTTGTTTTGTTTTTTCGTTTTTTATTTATAGATGTAGGAAAAATATTCTAAATCTACTTACCCAAAAAAAAAATTCTAGATGAGCATTTTTGTCCATAAACTCTAATTCAGATTGTATAAGCTCTCCTCTCATTTGGGGAGATTGAGGGTTCGAAACCTAGTGATGGAGCTTGGGGGTGAGGGGGAGAAGGAATTAGACGAACAACTTATCCATGGTGAGAGAACCATGCAATCAGATCATTCTAGGTATAGGGCATGATGTGGAAGCCACACTTGAGGTGGATATACTTTGAAATGGGACATGTGAATTCACACTGGAAGAAGAGATGGGTGTGTGATTTCCTCAGATGACAAAGTCCTCACAATGACTAGCAATTGCAGGTAGAGAGGATGTGATACTGAGCTGAGGAAGTAATCTGATTAACGATGATGGAAAAGCCCAAGTAGCATCAGAGATAAAGGAGCTAACAGGAGTGAATTGTCATACTTCTGCATTCAAATCAAAACCAAAATCATTATTTTAATTTCTTAGAGTTGAAACAAAATGTAGAATCATGTTCGGTAATGTCTCATGTTTTCAAAATTTTGAAAACAACAGTAGAGAAAGCAAGTTCAATAATTATGATTTTATGATTTGTTTTTGTCCCATGGTTTAGATGATTATACGAACATTATCATTAATTGGTCTTAGAGTGAAATTATTCACTTTTGGGATTTAGGAAAGCAGACAGGTGAAATTCCAGTGAAAAAAGAGTGATGGAGAGCTGGTTTCATAGGATAATTTCTCCAAGAGCAGTGGGTTTGAATTTCTTTTCATTTGGATGTAACTGAAGAGGTTGGTGAAGAAAATATAGCTAAGAGGGAGCATAAAACAAGCTAGCAAAGAATACAGAAATGCAGTAATCTGGATGTACTTCACTTTTATTTGCATTAATTGTCATACAATTTCAAATTTATGCTACTGTACATGAGAAAATTATTCACTGTAGTACTTTTTTAAAAAAAATTAAAATTTGTATTTTTTTTTGGCTGGATTTAGAACCGACTGTGTAAAGGGATGAACTGACTTTGCACAGCCCTAGTTATTTGTAATTACTTTAGGTAGTTAAAATATGTATATTGGATTTTTATTTTGGGTAAGTATATATATTAGATTTTGTTATAACAAAAGTACCGAATTCGATAAGATCAAGAATTACTATAAAAAAAAGTAAGCATACCACACAAAGATACACAAAAATTTTATATGTACGGCAACAGTCTATTACACCACTCCAAACCCTAAACGCCCTTATATATCTGGCTACAATAGATAATTAGGGCCCATGATCCATAAGCAAAAACGGGTTAAAAAATTTCTTCAGGACAAGCCCCCAAACCCCCAGCCCACACAAAGCTAATCCAACGAATTTTGTTGCGACCCGATACCATATTCGGGCCACAACATTACATATTTCATGATAAAATTTTGTATAATCCTAATTTTGTAGTCATTGACAATCTTTCAATCGTTGGTATTTATTGAAAACTTTTTGGAGGGGGAAAACAAGTCCATACAAGAAAAAGAAGATATTTACCGAAAAAAGAAAAAGAAGATTGTTTGCTCGGAATAATCTTTCAATCCTTGGTATTTATTGAAAACTTTTTGGAGGGGGAAAACAAGTCCATACAAGAAAAAGAAGATATTTACCGAAAAAAGAAAAAGAAGATTGTTTGCTCATTCCGAGCAAGTATAGACAAAGTTAAAAGTACTTTTAAGCCCAAAAGGCAAGCCCTAGTCAGCTTAAGAGATAGAAAAGCAAAAAAAAAAAATTTTGGGCTGTGTGACTTCTCTTCCTTGTAAAAGTTCGCCACAACCAACCATTCTACATAATTTATAAGCAAAGAAGATTGTTAGTAATGAAAAGCTTTGTTTGATGGATCAGAAGGGTAAGCCGGTTATGTCATTGGTATGCCAGCCAATGATCATGCATCATTTTAATTGATTAGTGGCAGTTTCTATGCGTGTGGGACTTATTTAATTAAAATTTATTCTTGATGGATTGATTTGTTAGTTATTTATTGGTTAGACATACTAATGACACGGTATGTCTAGCTCACCTTATACCTATCCAGACAGATACCACGTGCCAACAAATCTTAGAGTATTGTAGACTTTCTCCATTGGCCGACTCATCCAATATCTACTCCATGAGAAGATGAGCATGATGCTTGCGAAGGTTGGCAAGGAAAATAAAAAAAATTACTTTACAAAAATTATAGAAAATGTGGGTATATTGTGCGTGTGTGTATATATAATATTTATAAAGGAAGCATGAGACATGGTAGGTTTGAATTTAGAAATATGAAAACCAAGGGTTATAATCCTTTCAAAATAAAAGGTTGAGTTTGAAGGTTTTTGTGAGGATAAAAGAATAAATAAATAACAAATAAGTTAGAAATATGAAAGAGCAAAATAAAATGTAACTATGACCCAATATAATAAGCCTGACTTGAAGCCAGATTTAGGCTGGCCACGGGCATCAGACATTTAATTAGATCGTTTTGTGACCAGTAAATTTCTGACAGGCCCGGCCCGGCCCAGCCTTAAGATAGCCCTAGGACTTATTTTTTATTAGTATTAAACCAATTATGTGTGTCCAAAATAACATTGCGGACTCCTTGACAAGAATTGTAAATTATTATTATGTTAATATTACTGTCTTTTTCACATTCCTTAAAACACAAACACAAAAAATATATATTAAAATTAAAAAAAAATTAAAAAGAAAAAAAAAAATGGCATCTACAATTTTACTTTTGTTTTCATTATTGAACAATTGTATATTCCAACCACTCACAACATTTTATTTATTTTATTTTTTTATTTTTATAATAATTAACAAGAAGAAATTCACACACATCATTCACATACCTACTTTACTTCATTATAAACTCGAATCATCACCATTCACTTTGAAAGATAAATAAAATACTATTAAATCACAAGACCTTTAATATTCATAATGATATCAGAACCTATTTTTTACCAAATTAAACCTATTTCAAATTAATTAAATCCATTCCTACATACTGAAGTTATATTATGATAATTGAAGATAGAAAAATATCTCGTGAGAGGGTTAGAGGCAAGTACTGATATTGGCTCGTAATCAAGGAGAATAAACACCTTGGTTGCATTTCTATGTAATATATATGTATAAAATTAAAACTGACAAAGAAATTCAAAGTATTATAGTGATGTCCTTACAATTTGACGCTTAAAAAACGAGGAAAAAAAAAAAACCTCATAAAGAAAAAATTGAAATATCATTGATTTGTAAAATTTGGTTTGCAATACAGTTATTTGTAATAGTAAGGGCATCTCCAACCGTTGTGTATATATTTTTATATAAATCCAATGTGCCACAGCATATTTACACAAAAATTTTGTACTACCTATTTTTAACTTTAACAGTTGTTTTATACTTTTGTGCAAAAAAAAAAATAACAACCAACCACATGTCATACCCAAAACTCTACATAACTTTTACAAACCTACTTGATTCACTCTACATTTTCGCGATTAAATCTCACGTCCCAATACTCCTCAACTAGGAAAATAATAATAATTTGCCCTATATTTCACTTTCCCATCCCGCCTATAGCAAACATTTCATGCACCACCAGAATTCTAACGTAATAACAAATAATAAAATAAGATTCAAATATGTAAAAACTACCGAAACAAAAAATATGCAACAACAATTGCGATTGAATTGACTAATCACCAAAAAGAAAAAGGAAAATTGTATAACTATATCAAACAACAATTATATAAAAACGTGATTAAAATACATATCTAATTTTTAGCTAGTACATATTTATCTCATTACAATAGAATGTAAAATGATAAAAAAAAAATCTAAAAAATACCCTAGAATCTACGACGATGATTGAAGAAGATAAGATCAAACGAAAGTGAATCAAACTATTTTTATGAAGGAAAAAAAAAAAAAATTAAAGATAGTCCAGCAATTCTTACCTTGCTGCTAGTTGCAGATTCTTCCTATGGCACTCTAGAAAAGTGGGAAACAAAGAGGCGTAGAAGAATGAGAAAGAAGAAAGAGAACCTCGAGTGGGGAACAGGGAGGAGAGAGAAAATATGTTTACGTGGCTGTGTAAAATACACAACATTTTTACACCTTGGTGATGTGGCAGCGTATCTTAACAGACCACTGGAGATAAAAAAAAAAAAATAAATAAATAAATAAATAAATAAATTACAAATCGTATGTGGCCGTGTATATTTTACACAAAAAAAAAAAAAATAATAAAAATAATAAAAAATAAAATTAACATGATCCCAAACATAGCTCAATTTGTCAATATTTAAAAAATATCATTAAAAATATGAATAAGAATCTAATTACTAAAGTAAAATAATTATAAAAAAAATCAACTAAATCCGATATAAATATAAAATTGGAGTTTTAAACGATGAAATTTGACCAAATATGGCATGTATAACAAGTAATGCTAGTGTGTGCCAAAATGGATCCAAAATTTTACTAAAAATTGTATCAATCCCGCTATTTGGCCCTCTAATGGTTCAAACGTATGTTCTCCATCATAAATCTATATCTATTACTATTAAAGCAAGAAGACCCAAACGCTTTAACCAAAACCTTAAGCTAACTTCTTTCTCTTTCTGAAATCCAAAAGCATGTAAAAGAGAGACTCTCTCAACCAATGTCCATGTCCCGACCTTCCCTTGCCGCATTGCCTTAAAACAAACACAACCCCACATAGTGTTTGCACATCTTTCTCACCACTTTCTCATACCATCTCTCCATCTCTCCTATTTTCATTCAGTCTTTGCATGCTTAGACCACCACAAAACACACACCAAACACACACATCATTGACATACCTCGACTAATTAAACATACCCATATACACCTTTGCATGTTTTCAATCACACAACTCTGTCATGATCTCTTTATGTCCATGGTGTTCAATCTCGTGTTCTCACAACTGGGTATTAGCTTTTCCTGCAAATTCTAACAGAGTTTTTTCGATTATTTTGGTTTGGAGTTAGTGGGGTTTCTGGGGTTTAATACAATTGGGTCAATTGGGTCTTTGTGTGCTGATGGGTCCAGTCAGAGGGTATAAAAGGAGGAGGAAGATGGATAAGAAGGTTGACCCAAACGCTTCTGCTTCTGGGTCTTCTGAGGATGGGTGTTTGGATTGGTGGGATGTGTTCTCCAAGAGGATTTCTGGTATATTTTCTTTCTGATTCTCGTTTATTATAATCTTTGCTATGTGGGCTTTAATTAATAGTGTTTGTTATATATAGTCTTTGCAATTTATTGGTATTGAATCATTGATTGCTCTTGTTGATCACTTGGTGTTTGATGGTTTGTTGGTTCCATTTGTATATGATATAATGAAGTCAAATCCAGTTTTGGGTAATTTGATTGGCTTCTTCTTTGCCTTTAACTGATGTTATATGTTGATGCATTGCAAATGCAACTGGGTGTGTTAAAGAAGGGTTCCTAATTGCCATTTTCTGCTGCTTCTGAGTCATTCACTTTACCTAACATTTGGTTTAGTATTAATTATCTTGTGAGGACAAGAATAGATGTGAGATTTCTTAATTTATGTGGCTTGTAATCACGAAATCGAAGGCAAGAAAGGTATCTGGATTATTGATAATGTGCAGAGTTTATTCTCCTCCATGTATATGTTGAAGGACCTCGTGAATAGTCTTTACCATTTTATGTTTATCTATAGGAAACTAATAGTTGGGATGTCTGCATTGTGATACTGTTGAATACATCTTGAAATTAGATCAATTATATATATATATATATATATATATATATATATATATATATATATAGTTTGACAATAATATAACTTTACCATTAAACAAGAAAGATTCCTTACTGGGTGATTTGAAATAAAATTTCAAAATCTTTTTTCTTATTTTCGGTAATATGTGAGGATTTGTGATCGACAAACATTATTACTGTTTATAAATGTTGTTGTTTCAGTCTCAACTCTTTTTTTAAGTGATTTGGGATATAATGAATTAATATCATTGAAATTTTTATTTAATATTGGATATAATATTGTTCACCTTTTGAAATTGCAAATAGATGTGTTTTCCTTGACATGTAGAACAAAATGGCACATTTTGCTAGACTGCTAGTAGTGTGGTAACAAAAGTTGTAACATTAGAGGCAATAGTCTCTCGTACGGAAGAGAAGTTTACCTTTATATAGTTCCAGGCTCTGTGGGTCACAAATTGATCATTTGGTGATATTTCAAGCAAATATCCATGTTGCTTCAAAGTCTGGAGAGATGCTTGACGTGTTCTTTTTCTTTTCCTTTTTTTCCCGAATTAAGGAATAGCTCGATAATTGATAGGATTACATTGGTCTAGTTTAAACTATTTACTCTTTTCATTTTTTTTTTTTTTTTGGCTCTTCAATTCTATTATATTAGTGATTGAAAGATCAAGTATACTTGAAGCTTTGGAATTTACTTGGGAGTTGATCCAATTGACATATAAGAATGTGGAGAAATAAGTGTCCAGGTACTATAATTTTGTGAAGATTGGGGTAAAGTTTTACTTTTATGTGAAATGACTGTGCCGTTGTAGTCAGAAAATAGAGTCAGTCAGCAACTTGTCATGATTTAAACTATCAATTAATTTCCTTATGATCTCGCTCCTTGATCATACTTTTGAGGCCTGAATTGGAGTTTTCCAATTCTAAATTCTAATGGTACTTATAGAACAACTTCGGAACTTGCCTTCAATTTGCTTGTATATAATCGAAGTCAAACAGGCAGATGGTGTCATATCTTCTCGAGTCCGTGTTTATCATATAGTGGAAGTATATTTCTATCATCTTATGTAAACTAAGTGTAAATGAATGAATGTCTAACTCCATACTTTGTAGTTCCTCCACACACTTTAAGTTGAGTTTCTCGAGGATGATTTTTTTGGCTTCAGAGCATAGTATTTCTGATTTTCCTGCAAAGCCTCAGACCATGTAGTCCACAGATGGAATCGCATTGATGATGCAAAAAGTTCTGCCAAGAAATTGTCAACCCTTGTGCATTAGATTTGTACCAGAATTTAACACACATTTTTAAGTGCTGGCAAGAGTTTTATTTGCTTAGTTGCTAATTGTTGCTTGGACTTTTGGTTGTCAGAGGAAAGATACATACCCAATCATTGAATCAATTTTCTCCCAGTGTGCAGAACAAAAACTTATGATTTCTAGAATAAGAATATCATGTTTTACTTCTAGGTCGTGGAACAAATATGTGAATTCCTTCGGAAAATTTAAAATGGAAAGGGGGCGGGGAAAGGTGCTGCACCTGGGCTCAAGATCAACCATGTTGAGTTGGAACACCTTGCTGGGAAATATATCGTGAATATAGCAAGATTTTCTCCAACTACTGAAAGAATACGTGAAGGCATATGGATACTTACAAAAATACTTCTTGTGCCCCAGTTGACAAGGAAATGTTGGTCTTTTTGAAGCTGTCAGAGAAATGGCATAACCAAATGTTAATTTCTGTTCATCAAGGGTGCTGGGAGGGTAGGGTAGTGCACGCATTTAACATATTTGGCATTATTAGCGCATAATTGTTTGCCTTAGACTCAAAATTGAATTCTCATGCTTGGCATTCTGAGCCTTTCAAGTGGATGAATATATGTCAATCCAGAAAGGTGGCTTCTTGTGTAAAAGAATAAATTTAAGATATAGTTTAACGAGACAAAATAACTGGGAGATGGTATTTGTTGGTGAAATTGTCAATTTTTTTTCCAGAAAATAGGACTTCATGTGGTAGATTCTAGCAAGCTAGTTCCTAAGCTTTTTGTTTGATGTCATTACACTCGGGAAGTTCCATGTATTTTGTTTTAGAATGCGCTTAAAGCTGATCTTCCATATGGCTATGGTTTCCCATGGATTTATTAAAAAGATCCCAGGCACTTTTGGTTGCAGTGTGATGGGAACTCATCAAGGACTTGTTAGTTTGTAGTTCTTGATTATGTATTGACACTAGCAGGAGTATTGGTTATCAGCAAAAATATGAGGTGCCAAAAGGAGCAACAGAGAAGATGAAACCATCCTACTGTCTGTATGTGTCTAGACTCATACACTACCATGACTTTATTATTTGAAACTACTAGATTTTGATTACTTTAACCTTTTAGCCCTCTCCAATTTAAGGTCAAAAGAGATGATTGGCATATCTAGTCTAAATGGAAAATTGCATTGAACTGCATATTCTGGTTTCTGTATTCCATAATTGGCATGTCGTTCTCTATCACCATCTCATTCTATGTTTACATAAATTTGCCGATGTACTTCTTGGGATGAGAAATTATTCATAGTAAGCTGGATGAAATTTAAAAAGGGAAGGCCTATAGAATGCGAAGGGTAAAAGGAGCTCTAGAGGGACAGGCTTTTAGTGCTTCAAGATACATTCGATAAAATTAGAAATAATTAATCAGTTCCTGAAATGTAAGTTAAATTCAAAAACCTCGTGGATTAATAAAGAAGATATTTGTGCAAGAAGACAAAATTATAAATAAAGTTGCTCTCAGTCATCAAAAGAAGGATGTTGCTCAACGGAAAAGGTATTTCTATGAAAATGACGGTGGTCACTTGGCTGTTACTCAGAAAAGAAAAGGAAAAAAAAAAAGTATAGGACTCGGGGAAATAAGAGGGTTATTTGAGTGGTAAATTTTCTTGGCCTATTTAAGGCAATTGGTCAAGGTGGTGGTGGTTGATGATTTAGTGTGAAAATGAGATTTGATTTTAAAAAGAAAAGGGTGCTCGCTGAATGAGTAAAAAGAAACCAATTTTATGTGTAAACATGGCTGGGTAGTTGTGTCACATGGGTGCACTATACATTCCATAGTATCCATACATTAGATATGCTCATATTTGCATATCTATGTGTATATTTGCTTCAACAGGAAGCATTAGCGAACTTACTAGTAACTTTACCATGGTCATCCTATCATTCTCGATCAGCTTGGTAACCCTTATTTCTTCCAACTACTCAAGTTTTTAGAATCCTTCCTCCCTGTCCTCTAGTAGCAGAAATACACTTAATTGCTACAATTCTTTGTACAGCTTCTTGTTTCTGTTGTCATTTGGCTCCACTGTACTCCCAAATATGTTTTGGAGCTCGTTGCATGACTTCCTAAGATTTTATATTGTCTTCTTCTTGGGTCTGATACAAGAGTGTATATTGTCATACTTTAAGAAAGTACGTACGCTGAAGTAAAATTACTGGGGTAGTTGGAATGACAATTGATGCCACTTCTTTCTTTGAATTCCATGAAGAATATTGAAGTCAAGTTTGATCATTTTAGTTTTAATACATGTTAGTATTTCTGTTTTCCTCCTCCCTGCAGGTCTTTCATCTCCATCAAAGGATTTGGATAAGTTTGAATCTGTTTTCAGGATATCCAGAAAAACTTTCAACTACATCTGTACACTTGTGAAGGAGCATATGATGGCTAAGCAAGCAAACTTCATGTTCAGTAATGGCAAGCCAATGTCTTTAAATGATCAAGTAGCTGTATCTTTAAGAAGGCTAGGCTCTGGGGATTCACTAATAGCAGTTGCTGAATCATTTGGGACAAATCACTCAACTGTCTCTCAAGTGACATGGCGTTTTGTGGAGGCCATGGAAGAACGGGGACTTCATCACCTGCAATGGCCTTCCACAGAACAAGAAATGTCAGAAATAAAATCCAAGTTTGAGAACATTCGAGGCCTTCCAAATTGTTGTGGGGCAATTGATACCACTCACATCATGATGTTGCTGCCTCAATCTGATCTGGCAGATGTATGGCTTGATCGTCAGAAGAATCATAGCATGGTCTTGCAGGCTGTCGTGGACGCTGATATGAGGTTCCGGGACATTGTCACTGGATGGCCAGGGAAAATGAATGAATCTTTGGTTCTACAGAGCTCTAATTTCTTTGAGCTCTGTGAGAAAGGAGAGAGGTTAAATGGGAATAAGATGAAGCTCTCGGAAGGAACAGAACTAAGGGAATATATAGTTGGGGATTCAAGCTTTCCGTTGCTATCTTGGCTCGTCACACCTTACCAAGGAAAAGAGCTTTCAGAATCCAGAGCGGAGTTTAATAGGCGGCATTTTGCTACTCGGATGGTGGCAAGGAGAGCATTGGCAAGGTTGAAGGACATGTGGAGGATAATTCAAGGAGAGATGTGGAGACCTGACAAGCATAGGTTGCCTAGGTTTATCCTTGCGTGCTGCATTCTTCATAACATTGTGATTGACATGGAAGATGAAGTGTTGGATGAGTTGCCTTTGTCTCACCACCATGATTCAGGCTACCGGCAAGAGATCTGTGAATCTACTGATGAGACTGCTTCCATTTTGAGAGAGCAGCTCTCTCTCTACTTGTCCGGAAGACTGCCACCTTGACTATACTTCGCTTCAGCATGGCTTTCTTAATCTGTTGGTGCGATATATAGTTAGAAGAGCTTGAGACAGGATTCTGCCCAAAAGAAATGTTTGATGTAGGCTCATTTTTTTTTTTTCTAGATTTGTGCTTGTTGGTTTAGAAAACATTGAATTGCTTGAGGCCTGTTTTAATAATTGCTTGAGAGATTTGAACCAATCTAGTTTTAATTCCTTTTTAAAGTCTCTATTTTTGTTTGTGAATTTCTTCATTATGGAGCTGTGCAGGAAGGTAAGATTCCTTTTCTTCAACTCCCCAAATTATATGCAGGTGAAGGCCATAGTAGGGAAGCTGAAACCACTCCTCTCTCTCTGTACATTTATGTGTGTGTGTGTGTGTGTGTGTGTGTGGGTGTATTTATGAACATTTTTATATAATGCCCCTCCTAAAATTTTCAACTGGTTAAATTATCTCCTTTTTTTTTTTTTTCTTTCTTTCTTTTCTCTATTACTCTTCAATTTTACTTCAAATAAAAAATGTTAAATTTCCCTTCTTCTATCAAACTCTAATTTTTTTCCTCTCAAAATTCTCTCCTTTTCCCTTTCTTTTTCTTTTTATTTATTTATTTATTTATTGTACTTATGTATGATATATGTAGTATGCAATTTTTTCCTCTTCTTAATCTTTTATTTCTCTTCTTCTTATTTAAATTTATTATATAATTTTATGAACTCAATTGAGGTAATTTCATACAAAAACTTACAATTATATTCAACGAAAATATTACCAATCAATATTTTGATTCTTACTCATTGAAAAATATTTATCTTTTTCAACCTACTCATTGATTAGCATATTATTTTACAATTTTTTTTTTCTCTTTTTCTTTTTTGTCTCTTGACTTGAAACCGTCCATATTTGTCATAGTAGTGTTTTTTTTTTTTTTTTAAAAATCACACTGCATCCTCGAAATGAGATCCTAGTGCAAGCCGCTAGAAAAACATATTAACACATCATTAAATGAAATTATAGCTAAATCTATTCTTTTACAAATGCTCCTAGAATCAAATTCTTAGGAAAACAAAAAAAAAAACTAATTTTGATAACTTTTCTATCCCTCTTTTCAGATTTATCGTATATTAATTTTTTGAATGAAAGAAATGGAACTTAATCATATATATATATATATATATGTACGAAAAAATCACCCTCCGAACGAATTATATTATTCCTATTATTTCTATTTTTATTTATAAAATTATAGCTAAATCTATTTAAAGGAGATGACTATCACAGTGACCGAAATAAATTCATAAAAAGGGACCGAATTAAATTCATAAAAAGGGTAATAGGTTCGTGACACCATCGCGGGCAACAAAAAATAAAAGTAAAAAATACATATATAGAGATTTATATATACTCCTCCTTCTATCTTTCCTCTTTACCCATCAAAAGAACTTCTTCTTTACTTGTCGAGCTTTCCTCTCCCTCTCCCTCGTTACTCGTTGATATTAATTGTATGAAGTCGTGTACCTGTAATTAATAACTTTGCGTTAGTTCAAGTGCAAAATTCACTTCCTGACCATGTTAGTCCCTCAACTCTTAAAAAAATAATAAATAAAATTACAAAGTGATGAACAACATAACATGTATCTTAACCACTGGACTTTTCATTTAATTAATTTTTTTTTTTTAAAAAAAAAAAACCTTACTACGTAATATAATTAAATATATTTGTACCCCCATTTAACTACTTAAAATTTCACAGAAATTTAAATAAAAAATTCCAAAATTCAAAAAAAAAATTCCCTCATATGTTCATAGTTTACAGTTTTATTGCTGTGCGCTATTGAGCCTATTGTTAATGATTGTTCCCTTTGCAGAGAAAGAAATACGCAATCTCAATAAAATTTAGAATCTACATGTCTTTAAACAAATTCTTGTAATATACGGATAAATATTTTGGTAAACTCTTCATAAAATCTTAACTAAACAAAAATTCAATAATTATATCAAAAATGACAATTTTTAATATAATAAAAATTACTAAGGAGATAATTTAAGGTTATGAAACTCACCTCTAATAAGCCGAAGAACGATCCTGGTTGAAACTTCATATATCCATCATTAAAATCATAATTATTCGTACTCTCACTCGTACCATCATCATTCGAATTATTATTAAACTTTCGATTCCACGGCGTAAAATACGAATCATCAACTTGTAAAAAAGAGGTGAGTCTTGAGTAGTCGATTTCTTTTCGATCATCCCCTGAATAGCCGATATTGTTTTGATGATGATTATAACCCAAATCAAGCACCATCTGGTTCCATTCTTGTTGTCGTAACATGTCCATAGTATTTTGTACTAATTGTTGTTGCTCAAGATATTGTCGTTGCTCAAGATATTGTCGTAGTCGTAGTTGATAATGGTCTTCCGAGTTGACACGAGGCACCAACTCATCTACTTCGTAATAATCCGAGTGATTACTATAAAATCCATTGTTATCCATGGCTGTGACTGTAATTGTAAAGAACCCTCTTCTTTTTTTCTTTTTCTATTTTTTTTTGGTGGCATTCACAATTTATATAATGGGGTTGTAAAGGCTTAATATGATGAAATGGAATAGGAGTATGATTGTTTCTTAGAGGTTTGGTTGAATTAGAATAACCAATAGAAGTTTATCTCTACCTTTTTTTAATTCAGTTACAATTATAAGTAACTTTATTTACGAAAATATATCTAGATTATCTGGATTAATTATTTTTAGATATGCGGTATTGTTTTTATTTTGAACTGTAGTGATGTAGCTCCTATTTAGAGTTTGAGTCGTACATGAATACCTCTTCATGTACAACTCAAACTGTACGGATATCACCATATAAAATTATCTTTAATTACCTCTTCATGTTGTACGGATATTCCGATAAAATATATATATACACACACATGGGTACTTCAAAAAAAAAAAAATTGCAATATATATGAATATTCCTTATTTTTTATTTCAAAATATTTCTAACAGAATCTAATATGTGTCTAAATCCTATTTACATATTTGACAAGTGTTTAAATATCCGGTACCTCACAACATGGTTGTGAAATATGTGTGCTTTCTATTTCTAATATATTTCGCATTGAAGCATGTACTCGAAAAAAACAATTAGAATTTGATAGATTAGCATGACTGAATCAAATCTATTCTTTGACGAAATAGAATGGCTTTGATTAAAATAAAAAATAAAAAAAAAATTAAGAATCATTGATGAGGGTGGAATTCTAAGTGAAACTGAACTATTAACTATAATTGAATATAATATAAATATAAATTCACACACATGAATAATCATGTAGATATTTGTTAACGTTTTTGTAGTTTAATGGTTCTGTTACTCTCATTATTTTTGAAAGTTCGATTTCGAATCTTTAACTTAAAATAATAATTTAACATTCTTGTTCCGAGAAATATATAAACATTTTCATTTTTCATTTGATTAGTTTGAATATATGTGTGTGTGTATATATATATATAAAAGTGTAAAACTGTAGAATCTAACCAAACTAAACCGACCATTTTAGATTTGATTTGATTTTTTTTTTTTTTTTTTTTTAAACTGTTAAATTCGATTTGATTCTGATGCATGTCAAAACTGGATCAAATGGAACCGTGGGCACGTTGAGCATTGGAGCAGGGCTGGCCTAACCCAAATACCCAAAGAAGCAGTGATCAATGAAATTATAGCTAAATCTATTCTTTTACAAATACTCTAGAATCAAATTCTTAGAGAATATATATATATATATTGATAACTTTTTTATCCCACTTTCCAGATTTATTGTATCTTAATTTTTTGAATGACTGAACGAACAAAAGTAAGAGAAATAGAACTTAATCCTTCCTATCACTTTCTATTTTTATTTTTAAAAAGGTAAATTAAACCCTTGAGGTTATATCATATTTCAATTAGACAAAAATATTAATTTTAACTTTCACTTACACTTCAATCATGCAAATTGTCCAATTAACCCGTAATTTTTTAAAACAAAATATATATAATCTTAAATAACAAAAGACCCCTATCCCTACTCCCACACCACCGCCACCATCTCTGGCTCCCAGACCATAATATGCATTTCTCTGATAATTCTATTTCTTATCTCAACAAAGTGGTTTTTTTTCTTTGAGAAGAGGTTCTATATCCTTGCAAAAAAAAAAAAAAAAAAATTGAAAAAGAAGACCCCTATCCCTACTCCCACACCACCGCCACCATCTCTGGCTCCCAGACCATAATATGCATTTCTCTGATAATTCTATTTCTTATCTCAACAAAGTGGTTTTTTTTCTTTGAGAAGAGGTTCTATATCCTTGCAAAAAAAAAAAAAAAAAATTGAAAAAGAAGAAGCAAGGCTGACTATTAGAACATTCAACTGAAAAGTCAATATTCTATGAGAATATAAGATTTCACTTTTGAATAGAGTCTTTAAACTTGACATAAGGTGTCCCGCTACTAAGACTTGAAATTCTCACTCTACTAAGCAAGCAACCAGTTCTTATTTCATTTTATTGAATTCACCAATAGATTTGACTCAACCTGTGGAAAAGAATCCATATCCATCAAAAAGTAAGAGACAGTAAAGGTAAAGTGGATCTGTTGGAGAGCTTACAAGGGCAAAACCTAGTTCACTTGATTTGGTGTAAATTTGATGGTGGTTGTGGGGGGTGATGGATGTGGCTGAATCACGACGGGCCGACTGCGACATTATATGGTGGGGGTGATTGGCGGTGAGGATATATATATATATATGTGTGTGTCTATGATTTGGTGGTAAAAACAGAGTGTGAGAAAAATAAAACAAATTTGGCAATTTTTAATCTTTGCTGCCCTTCTCTGCAATTTCCCCCCTAAAACTCTCTTCTTGCCAATTCAATAATCATGACAAAGAGGTGAGAGAGAGAGAAAGGTTCATGACAGAGCGGTGGTGGGTGGTGAGTTTGGTCATAAAAAACAAAGTTAGTATGAGGTCAAAAAGTAATCTAGTCATTTAACGCCTCAAAGTACCCTGACTTTATCAAAAATTGAACTTTAAAATGGAAGTAAAATGTTAATATAAGTAAAATTTAAAATCAAAATGTTAATAAACGTGAAATATGACCTGACAAAATCATATGAAGTCTGAGTGTAATTTATTCATCATAAAATTATAGCTAAATCTCTTTAAAAGATATGACTATCAGATTGATCGAAATAAATTCATAGAAAGCCAGTAATAAGTTATGAGGTGTACTAAAAATTGTGACACTATGGTGACAAAAAATAAAAATAAAAATAAAAATAAAAAATAGATATATAGAGGTATATTATATGATCCTTCTTCTATCTTTCCTCTTTACTTATGGAGAGAAGCTTGCTCTTTACTTGTCGAGCTTTCCTCTTCCTTGTTATTCATTGATGTTAATCGTATGAAGTCGTGTACCTGTATTAATAACTTTGCATTAGTTCGAATGCAAAATTCACTTCTTCATACTAAACGGGCCATTTTAGTCCCTCAACTCTTGAAAAAATAATAATAATAATAAATAAAATTACAAAGTGATAAACAACATACACACTACTTACCCACCGGACTTTTCATTTAATTAATTTTTTATAAAAAAAAAAAAACTTACTAAGTAATAATTATAGTTGTACCCCCATTTAACTACTTAACACAGAAATTTAAATAAAAAATTCCAAAATTCAAAAACAAAATCCCTCATATATTCATTTATTATTGTGTGCTATTGTTAATGATTGTCCCCTCTGCGAAGTGAGAAAGAAATATGCAATCTCAATAAAATTTACAACCTACAGGTCTTTAAACAAATTCTTGTAATATACGGATAAATAGTTTGGTAAACTTTTCCTTTCATAAAATCTTTAACTAAACAGAAATTCAATAATAATATCAAAATTGACCATTTTTTCTATAATAAAATTTACTATAATATTGGGGTGATAATTCAAGATTATGAAACTCACTTCTAATAAGTCGAAGAACGATCCTGATTGAAAGTTCATGTATCCATCATTAAAATCATAATTTCTCGTACCATCGTTGGAACCATGATGTCTCGTACCATCATCATTCGAATCATTATTAGACTTCCAATTCCACGGCGTAAAATATGAATCATCAACTTGTAAAAAAGAGGTGAGTCTTGAGTAGTCGATTTCTTCTCGATCATTCTCTAAATAGCTGACATTGTTTTGCTGATCATTATAACCCAAATCACACATCATCTGGTTCCATACCTGTCGTCGTAACATGTCCATCATGTTTTGTGCTAGTTGTAGTTGCTCAAGATATTGTCGCAGTCGTCGTTGATAGTGGTCTTCCGAGCTGACAAGAGGCACCAACTCATCTCTTTCATTATAGTAACAATCCGAGTGATTTCTGTAAGTTCCTATGTTTTCCATGGCTGTGACTGTAATTGTAAAGAACTCTCTTCTTCTTCTTCTTCTGTTTTTTTTTTTTTGGTGGCAATCACGATTTATATAATGGGGTTGTAAAGGCTTAATCTGATGAAATGGAATAGGAGTGTGATTGTTTCGTTAGAGGTTTGGTTGAATTATAATAACCAATTGAAGTTTATCTCTACTTTTTTTTAATTCAACTACAATTATAAGTAACTCTATTTACACACGCTAAGAATAAATTAGTTTTTGGTTAAAAAAAAAAAACGTAACGGACTAATCAATCTGTTTCGACATAATTTTTTTTTTTTTTTTTTTTTTTTTTTTGTGTTGGCAAAACCTATGTCATTTGGGTCAAATCTATCAAGTGTGAGTATAAAATAATTTGTATAAATAATTTTTGTTAAGTTTTAATAATTTTTTTTTTTTTTTGTAAATTTTTTATGACAGTCAAACACCAAAAAAAATATATATATATATATATATGTATATGTATATGTATATGTATATTGAAAAAAAAAAAATTACATCTAAACAGACAGAGCCCGATTAAGTCGCAAATACCTAAAATGTCATCTAATGTATTTTATGTACTTGGTTTATTAAGCGCATTTTGTCGCAAGTTTCTAATTTAAGAACCACTATCCTGACACCAACAAGAGACAAGTACCATGGTGAAAAATCACCTCCAATAAAATAGTGCCTTATTTGTTCTATTTTGGAATAAGTAGCCCAAAAATGATCACGTCAGCCATGTTTGGCATAGATCGTAAAAAAAATATTGGGAGCACCTTACGAAAATATTGGGATACATTTTCACTCACAAAAATGGAAGAAATGGACTACTGTGCAAATGAAGAGAATCTTAATCCCAAGTACCATACAATACGGATATCATACAAAAAATTTCAAAAAATAAAAATAAAAATACGTGGATACATCAAAAAAAAAAAAAAAAATGCATTGTTCGTTATTTTTGGCTGTGTCCAATCAAAAAATAATTCAAAAAATTTTAAAAATTTTAACATGCGTATAAATTCTATTTACATATTCGACAATTGTTTAAATATTAAATATTCAACACTGTCGGTCTGTCACGACATTCCTAATGAAATATGTGTGATTTATATTTAGCATTAAAGCATGTATATGAAAAGATAATTAGAATTTGATAGGTTAACGTGACTGAATCAAATCTATTCTTTGACGAAATAGTTTTGTTTTGATTAAAAAAAAAAAAATTTAAAGAATGATTGATGAGGTTGGAATTCTAAGTAATATTGAACTATTAATGATAATTGAATATAGATATTGATATTACTGATCACATGGATATTTGCGGACACTTTTGTAGCTCAACGACTTCGTTACTCTCACTGTTCTTGAGAGTTCAACTTCGAACTTTTAACTTAAAATAATAATCTAACATTTTTGCTTCGAGAAAAATATAAATATTTTAATTTTTAATTTTTCATTTGATTAGTTTGAATATATATATATACAGTTATTCCAGACTAAGGTTCGGTTTATTGGCTATCATATTTATCAAGGTCAAATACGTCCAATAGATAAGTCACTCTAATTTGCAAACAAATTTCTTGATGAAATCTTGAATAAAATCCAACTCCAAAGATTCTTATGATCCTTCAATTACATTGTTGATTTTTATCAAGATCTTAAAAAAGAGTGCAAGTCCTAATTTGATTACCTTGGGAGTAATCATCCACCTTTGTCTCCTATCTATACATATGTTGTTAAATCAATTAAACAGTATCTCAAGTCTTTACCTTGCCTTGTCATTTTTACTGCCAATTCGTTCAAAATCATTAAAACAGATGCCTCTAATATTGATTATGGTGGCATTCTAAAGCCAAAAGTCAGCCCAAACTCTCCTGAGCAGCTGGTTCGTTTCCATTATGATATCTGAAACAAAACGCAAAGTAATTATAGTGCTATTTAAAAAGAAATTATATCTATTGTTTTATGTATCAGTAAATTTCAAGATAATATTTTAAATCAAAAGTTTTTTTTGTTAGAGTTGACTGTCAAAGTACTAAAATTGTTTTAGAAAAAGATGTTCAATATATTGCTTCTAAACAAATTTTTTTTTAGGTGATAAGCTATTTTAAGCATATTTGATTTTGATATTAAATATATCAAAAGAATACGAACTCCATCCCAGACTTTCTTACCAGAGAATTCTTACAGAAAATCGATGGCCAATAGGCGGTCCAACAAGAAGGCTCCCCAAGGGAGACAACAAATTCAACCTTTTGATATACACGTCCCGAAGCTCCACTCCCGATAAAACAAGCCCCAAACTTTTTTATTAGAGAATTCTTACAAAAAAACCGATGGCGAACATGCGGTCCAACAAGAAATTCATTGTCTTCCTCTGCCCTTGCAGTAGTCATTGTTTTATCTGTTTTAGTTCAGTTGATTTTTGTTAGTACATTGATCCTTTTATAATAGTTTTCAAGATAATCAATGAAATTAACCTCTAATTTATGGTCAAGCATAAATTTTTTCCATTTATATATATATATATATATAACAAAATGTAAAACTGTAGAATCAAACCAAACTAAATCGACCATTTAAATTTGATTTGATTTGATTTTTTTTATTATTATTATGATTTCAAGAATCGTTAGATTCGATATGATTCTGATCCATGGATCAAACAGAGCCGTGGGCACCTTGAGCATTGGAGCAGGGCGGACCTAACCCAAATACCCAGAGAAGCAGTGATCAACAACGCTCGTGATCGATCATTAACGGGACACGTGTGCGGATACGATCGATGTAACCGTGACTCCTGATCATGCAGTGTCATTTATATTTTTATATTCCGTTGTCGAGCAAGAATCGAGTGCTCCTCAACCACCATATACCTCAAAATCTATTTATTCTTCGCAGCTTAATCGCCGGCCGTTTACCGGTCACTTATCTTCGCCGGAATTATTCCGAATTTCCAATCGGAAGATCGCCTGTACAAATTCATGCAGTTATCGAAGGTATGGACAATTGAAACCCTCTATTTTGGTTTCCAATTTTAGGGTTAGGGCATGACTTTTTTTTTTGGTTTCTCGAACACTTCGAATCAACTCAATACTGTTATAAATCATGATTTTTGTATGATTTTTTTTGTGAATTTTGCGTGAAATGCATGAATTTTGTTAGAATTCGGCAGATTTCAAAGTCAAGAGCTGATTTTTTTTTTCAGGCGATGAGGACTTTGCCTCTCACTTGTGTGGTTCGACCTCCCAGTACGTGAACACTATTACTATACACAAAAGGGATTACCTTTTGCAAAAAGTGTCCCAGTTTCGGAGATTATTGGTCTGCATTTGCTTAATTTTGGCATTGATAGTCATTGAAGAAGAAAATGCAAAATGGTATGGTCTATTTTCTTCTTTAAGCTTCAAATTTATTATTAGTGTTTTTGGTTGATTCCTTGCTGCTATGATTTGTTACTTCACTCCAATGAATGGTGTCAGTATATCATTTGACTTCTTTATATATATATATATGTGTATATATATATATAAGTAATTTTGACATTTTTCTTTTGACCGTTAGCACGCATAATCACACTGGCACATATTTATATTGCATTATAACAGTGAGCTTCCGAGCAGAGCTTGAATGAAATTTGATACACATCAGTGTTAGTTTTGAAGCATTGAAGGTTTTTTAACATGCACACGTTACACTTTGTAATTGGTTTCAGTTTGTTGTTTGATTGAATGATACGTGGGATCGCAAGCATTTGATCAGGGTTAAGGTCAAATTATGTTTAGTGTAGTTTGATTATATCGGAGATATTGGAAATCTTGCTTAAATCCATGGTATAAATTAGTGCCTCACGCTGTGTGATATTGGAACATATACTTGTGCGGCACACATCCTAATTGATGATTGATATGTTCTAGACAAGTACATCAGTGCCACTTTTGGGAATAAGTGCAGGATAATTTTACTGGGTATACTATCTCACTGATTAGAGGCTTTTCATATTGGCACACACATAGGCTGGTACATAGACATGTATATAAGAGAGTATAAGTGTATATATATATAATGTACATTCTTGGTCACCAGCTCATCATCTTGGTTCATACTGCAAACCATGTCATCATAAAATTATTAGATTTGAAATTTGTCAGTTAATCGGTTATGGTATTCTGTTACGGAGTATATTTTTTCCCTACAAACTTGACAATAGAGACCAACTGAGAGCTTATGTGTAAACATAAGGATATGATCAAATAGTGGTTGTGGGTATCTGAAGGGATTAGTCCCACTTCCAAAGGAGTTGGGGGCACATGAAAAGAGTATTGGTTAAGTAATGTGCCCCCTTACTTGTATTTTGTTTGTATTAGTATATACATCACAAGTAACATTTGTTCATAGATTTATAGAAACATGTAAGTTCTTATATTCTGCTTCTATAATGCCTATATATGCTGACCTGAACACTCTATGAATGTATAAGCATTTTCTTATGCTAATTTTGTAAAGAGCTCTTAGAATTTAGGGTTCAAAAAGGTCAAGGTTTACTTATAAAAAAAAAAAGGTCAAAGTTTGTATGAATAGATGATTGAAAAGTGATGGAATTGACTTGTTTCTAAAATTCAGTGATTGCAGGAATTTTATGAAGATTCGTGCAGGAATTTCCTGGATGAATTGTGGGGATTGGGCGTTAAATTAAAATTGAAAGATATCAAAAGGGATTAAGGTTGATAATTATGGGCTATAATATTTTTGGTCAATACTATAGCTCATACCCAGTAAATTTGGAAATGATCAAATCACTCCTAACTCCTGAAACTTAATAAAACATAATAAATCCGGCCAGCAGTGTACTAACTTAAATTGGACATAAATAATGACTCAAATCCAACTAAAACCTTGATCTTTGAAATATATTCCAATGCAAAAAAGTATATAGATTGAAGTAGATGGGGTCAACAGTAAAACTTTGGATTTCATGATCAGGCAAGCTCATGCTTGGTGAACTCAACATCTTAAAATGAATTCGTTTAATATATATATATTTAAAACAAAGTAATCTCTCTCTTGCCTATGCAAGAGAATTTGAGAAGGTAAAGGCTGCGGCTGTGATCTCCTAAGATGTTGCCAACACCTTTAGCCCCTGATTAAGCATTCTTCTAAGTTAGATTTGATCGTTCCTGATCATGGGGTCTTCACGTGCATATTACTGCCGCTTGAGCAGATCTAAAGGGACATGTAACCTTGCATCCTTAATGTGTAAAGAAACCAGAGTCTCATGAAACCAGTGGCGGACACAGAGGGGGGCTTGGGTGGGCTTGAGGCCCCCCCCCCAAAAAAAAAAAAAATTTTTTTTTTAGTATAGTATGTTCAGCCCAAATTTTAAAAAAAAAAAAAATTTTAATAGTAGTATTAGCCCCCCTTTTTAACTCATTCAAAAAAAATTTGCTTATGTAATTAAATTTATGTTCAATACTAGCCCCCCCCCCCCCCCCCCCCCCCCCATTGACAATTCCTGGATTCGCCCTTGCATGAAACTCCTTTGTTTCGGGAATCAAATGAGAAGCATCATTATTTTCCTTTCAAAAAAATGTTGTCTAAACTTGGTTTTTTCCCCAAAATCGTCTCCAATCTTTTCAACCCAACGTGCAATAAGTTTCTATTAACTTATCATTTACATTTACACCAACCCAAAGTGTATACTACTACTTCTTTGGACATCCTTTTGTGGTTGCTTTTACTCCGTAACTGGATTCTCTCTCTCTCTCTCTAATGCGCGCGCGCGCGCACACGCACAAACTATGAAGTTATTCATTTTTCTATGCCCTCATTTTATTTGTTTTAATCTAGCCATCTTATAGAATAAACTAACTCCGTTATGCTAATGTTGTATCCTTTCCAAATAAATTTTTTTTTTTTCAGTCTTTCCAGAATAAAGGATTTTGGATGGCACCGGGTGGTGGACATTTAACTGATGGGGATGCAGCATTTGATAATATGTCCAAAATTGAACCAAAGCGTTCTCATCAATGGTTTACTGATTCTACTGAACCAGAGTTATTCCCCAACAAGAAGCAAGCTGTACAGGTTTCAAATTGCAAATCGACCTCAGGAATTTTTAATGCAAATGCTCCTCCTTGGGAGAATGCGTCCAGTTTCCAATCAGTCCCAAACCAATTCATTGACCGGCTATTTGGATCTGATACAACGAGGCCTGTCAATTTTATTGAAAGAAATGTTTCTCCTGCTGGAATAGACAACTCAAATATGAGAAAAAAGAGTGTAAATGAACAATTTAGAAATGATCCATCTGTTGGTTTGTCTGTATCTCCTATCATGGAAGACCCAGAAACATGTCTCAGCTATGGTGGAATTAGAAAAGTTAAGGTCAATCAGGTTAAGGACTTTGAGAATGCTCTGCATGAACCAAGGGAATGTAGTAGTGGCACATCCATGGGTCAGGTATATAACAGGGGGATAGAAACCAGTTTTATCTCAATGGGGCAAGCCTACAGTAGGGAAGATGATAGTGTCATGTTAATGGGCCGCACCTATAATGGATCCATGGGTTCCACCTCTGAAAAAGGAGATAACAATACATTAGCGATTGGTCACACCTATAATAAGGGAGAGATAAATTCAGTATCTTTTGGTGGCTTTCATGAGGATCCTGAAATTGACCTATTAGCCCGTCCCATAAGCAGCTATGGCTTGTTGTACGGTCAATCTTCAGTTGAGAAATCAGAAACACCCAGCAAAAAGGAGTTGGATGCATCAAATACCCAGAGTGTTGTAAATGCTTCCCAACCAGCTAAAGCCAGAACAGAGCCTGTGTCCAAGAATAAGTTGGAGCTGAAAATGGCTAGGAAAGAAGCTCCAAACAGCTTTCCTTCAAATGTCAGAAGCTTGATATCAACCGGTATGCTTGATGGAGTGCCTGTGAAGTATGTTTCTGTGTCACGAGAGGTAAATCAGTCTTCCTTTGTTTCAATTTCCTCATTTTTTTGTAGTTTACTGACTTATTGTATTTTCTTCTTGTGATAAGGAACTCCGTGGAATTATAAAAGGTTCTGGCTATCTTTGCGGGTGCCAAACATGTAATTACTCCAAGGTATGTCATATATTTGTTGTCAGATCCATTTTGACTCTCTTGAATAAATGGTGGATACATTGGTTTTTGTTAGGCACTCAATGCTTATGAGTTTGAGCGTCATGCTGGTTCCAAAACAAAGCATCCTAATAATCATATATACTTCGAAAATGGGAAGACTATCTATCAGATAGTCCAGGAGTTAAGGAGCACCCCCCAGAGTTCTTTGTTCGATGCAATACAAACTGTGACTGGTTCACCAATTAATCAAAAATCCTTCCGCATCTGGAAAGGTAATGAAAATTTTCTAGCTGAGTTGCTGCTTTTTTAAAGACATTCTTTAATGTTAGGCCCTCTCTCATCTTATAAAAAGGAGGGAAGAGGTATATATGTATGTATGTGGTATATATATGTAGGTATATATATATATATATAGAGAGAGAGAGAGAGGGAGCAGAAGAGCTTTCTTTGAATCATAAATATCAATTATGGTAGTCTATTCTCCTCCTTTTCTTTATGTTTTCCTTTTCTTCAGAGTCATTTCAAGCAGCAACTCGTGAACTTCAGCGTATCTACGGGAAGGAAGAACTGAATTTATAATAGCAGTGCAGTGAGCCTCCAATCAAAATGGTAGAAAATTGTAAATTATGTACTCTTGTATGTAATGCTGATTAGTATGGCCAAAGTGGTGCGTGTTTTCTTTTTAATAATTTCGCATACAGCTAATGTAATGTTAAATTTGAAATTGTTATAATGGTTTGTTAGGATTGAGTTCTTTTTGACTATAACTTAATAGAAAATGAGTGTTCTCTTCTCACGGTGTTCCATTGTCAGACCATTCTTGACCGACCTGTTGTTTTAATGATCGTCTCTGAAGATGAACTATTTTTAGTGGAAAAGTAATGTAAAAATGTTTTATAGGAATTGGGAGAGGTATAGCAAAGTTCACCTTGTTCTAGTATTCAACCTCTTGTTTCCAGCATGCAGAAAGGGAGGAGAAATGAGATTGTATTTGTTTACTTTTGAAGCTTCTGTTCAATGGTTCCATTTTCGTTTAGTTCTCGGATTTTTAATCGTTGCAACAGGAGGCGGCAAAGTAGAAAGAATATTGTAAACACTCATTTCGTTGTTTTGTGAGAATATTGGATTTTTTTTTTTTTTTTTCTTTTTGGTGGGGGGGGGGGGGGGGGGGGGGGGGGAATTATCTTTATTATACCATTTCTTCTCCTTTTTTCTTTTTTTCTTTTTTTTTGCCTTTTTTCGTTTTTTGGGAGCAGGTTAAATGATCATAATACCTCAGAGTCTGTCTGCAAGCCTCTACTGTATATCCCTAGCTATTGAAAAGAAAACTTCCTCCACATTAAGATTTGTCTTTGCACTCTATGGGGGAAGGAAAAAGAAAAAGTATATTTAAAGATTAAATGGAATTTTGATATTTTTGCCGGGCAAGATATTCTTCATAATTAGTTAAATTGATTCAAAGAAGCATGCTGGTCAATGTTGCCAATCTAGTTCCTAATGTCTGAAAACATATGCATCAAAATCTCATCAATGGTGTATGACGTGGCTGTTATTTATTGGTAGGGAGATTTTTCCCTCCACAGGTTACAAAGCGGAAATCTAGGAATGATGAAATTGGTGGTTGCATGGTGGAGATCTGTGTTTGGTATTGTGGATTTGTTTTTTGCTTTATACAGATTAAGGTTGAAATAGGTTTTCATTGTTTCATCCGGACCAATTGTTTCATCCGAACTGTCATCCGGAAGGACTTGTATTCTTATCACTTAATTGCACGTCCTTTTAAATATTCTAATCCCCAATAAAAAAAAATTAATAATTTACCAAACCGGATCACTTCATTTTATTAGTGTGTTTGTATTGATTGGTATGTCAATCCAATGTAACAAATAATTTTTTCGGAAGGAGTATTATTTTCCTTCCATTATTCAACGGAAAACAAGGTATTTAAATTAGAACTTAAGAGAATTACTAGCCGAGAGGTCTGACGGGTGGTGAAACAGATGAATCGGAAGCTAGGAGAACAAGTGTTTCATTTGCCTGTGCCAACAAGATTGGGCCTCGCCTTTTATTTTGGATACCCCTCCTGTACTTTTTTGTGCATTCTGATCCCCTCCTGATACTGTATTAAAAATGGTGTTAGTCCGTCCTCACTCTATTAGGGTGTTGGACTTACCTACCTATCAACTCCGTCTTGAATACATTACGGCTTTTTCCTTTTCAGTATTCGATTTTGGTAGAACTATCGCTTGAGACCTCTCACTGTGCGACAAAGTACAAAGTAAATACTACTTCCGAATTATATTAGTTGTCCATTTCGAAAATTTTGACTCACTACCATTATCATTTTTAGTCATATTTCTTTTATATAGTTATATACTACTTATATTCCATATTAAATGTCTACTTTGGTAATTTTGGCTTACAAAAATTGTGAGTCAAAATTTTTGAAGTGGACAACTAATATGGAATGGAAGTAGTAATTTATTGTTGCTTGGCAGATCACGTGCTTAAAATAGTGTTAGTTCATGACATTAATATATCCAAAATTTTCTTTTAATTTATGAGAGATTGTTTAGGGTGGGACAATTTGGACAACACTGACTATTTGGGAGCTTCCTTCCTCCCGTAATTGTAAAGAGGCTATGTCCCGCAGGCAAAACACGAGCGCTCATACTCATCCCACATGGCGTCAACAAGGAAGGAGTAGAATATAGTTTTACTTATATGGATGGAGTATTACATTGGAATTTTCTAAAATGTTAAAGAGGTGGTAGATATTTGCAGGAAGGGTAGAGAATATTCTATAAAATTATGAAGTTTTGAAAAGTTGTTGAACTCTATAAATAGGTAAGGATCCATATGTAACAAACAAGTTCCCAGACTAAGAGTGAGACACAAACCACATTGGAACGGTTCATATATACCAAAAAATCATGATTTTTCAAATAGGTTTTAAAAGAAACTAAATGTAGTATCATTTTTCCACTGACAATATGAAAGTTAACGTTAACATTTATAATTATTTATAATTGGTAGTGCCGGTGTTTCCGACAGGATGCCTAATGTGCAAATGTTTCTGTCCAGTGGGGAAGTATTTCAAAAATTCTTCTGAGGGTAAGTATTTACTGTATAGGCTAATTATGTGTTCCCATCCCGAGGAAAGTTAGAGTGGTTAATTTTCCATGTACTACTACTTTACCCTATTATTCCATTACTACCCTATTCTAACGAGTAATAATGTAAATATGTATTAATTTAGAAAAATAAATTTAAATAAGTGAATGAATTTTCTAAATGAAATGACAAATCTCATCCTTGAATTCAATAATTAAACAAGAAAACATATAATTCAATATACAAATGCATCAAGAAAAGAAAAGAAAAAAAAAAATTAAGAATTTTGCTAAATGGTGGTTCCGCATTTAATACAAATGTAATTACCTTCATCGCTTCACGTGTTGGCTTTGTTCATAGTTGTAATCCGAATATGTTTAAAGGAAGAGATCTCTAATACAGAGAGAGGGTTATTTGGGAGGTTAGAAAGGTTATACACAAAACGGTAAAAGCATAGGTTGAGATTATATGAAAAGTTCACTTGTTATTTGTAATCAAATCTCTATATTATAGAGAAATTATTATATAGTTTGGAAGGCATTGGTCGGTGTGAATCGCCAAACACCTAACCAAAAGTTATTAAAATTTACACATTTTAGACACGTTTATTTATATCTCGAAATAAGCTGATGCAAAAAACAAAAGAAAATTATTTTTATGCCAATCATTTAAAATGATTTCTTTGACCTACAACTTCTGATTGCTTATATTTATAAAATACAAGACTTCCTTATATTTAGTATATGTGACCAATCAAAGATGATAGGGAAGATAATTCACTTTAACTAGTCTGCCAAAGTATCATTCCCAAAAAAGAAAAAGAAAAAGTATCACTACTCAAAACAAAGGGATTCACTTTAACTAGTCTGCCAAAGTATCATTCCGAAGTTTAAAAAAACAAAAAAAAGTTTTTTATCAAACACCATCAACACAAATAAAATATGCAATTAAATATGCAATTGATACAATGTATATAATTGCAGCATATGCCAATCAAATATCATCTGAAAATACAAGAGATACCAAAATATTCAAATCAGCCCATCAATTTCACACTTGCAATTTTAGACCCAAATCAAACCATTATATTCCAGATATGCACTAAATATGAGGACCAAAATCATCCAAAATCACAACCAGATACAATTTCTATCATAAAGGATAGACAGTAATAGTAACCTAATAATACTAAAACCAAATCCTAACCCTAACCCTAACCCTAGAAATAGATGCAAAGATAGGTTCTTCAAACACCATAACACTAATCGATCAACAAATTAATCACCTTCAAGAGCTAGTGAACTTAGTCACAGCCTTAGTCCCCTCCGACACGGCGTGCTTGGCCAATTCACCGGGAAGCACGAGCCTGACGGCGGTCTGGATCTCCCGAGAGGTGATGGTGGGCTTCTTGTTGTACCTGGCTAGCCTGGAGGACTCCTGAGCGAGCTTCTCGAAGATGTCGTTGATGAAGCTGTTCATTATCCCCATGGCCTTGCTCGAGATCCCGATGTCGGGGTGGACCTGCTTCAGCACCTTGAAGATGTAGATCTTGTAGGTCTCGACGCTCTTCTTCGTCCTCTTCTTCTTCTTGTCCCCGGCGGCGGCGCCTCCCTCCTTCGGCAGCTTCTTCCCGGCCTTGGGCTTCTTCTCCGCCGGAGCCTTCTCAGCCACGGTCTTCTTCTCCTCCGCCGGCTTCTTCTCTGCGGGCTTCTTCTCTGCCTTGGGTGCCATCAGAGATTTAGAGAGAGAAAATTAGGGTTACGAATTGAGAGGACAGAGGCGAGTGATGATGAATATCTGAAATAGCTTTGAAAAGATGAGGGGTCGGAAGAAGTTTATATAGAAGGTGAAAGCGAAGTCTTATTGGTTACTGACATTGGACGAGGATCGATGACTTGGCAACTGTCCACGACGTTGGATCTGGATTGGATGGATGAGTTAATGACGGTCAAGATGATATTAACTTTTGCTGGGCTTAAAAGAATAATTTGGATTGGCGCCAATTGTGTAAGGCGGTCGAACCATGGTTTTCAATTAGAAATCGTCTTTTGAACCGAAGAGTATGAAGGCCACGTCTTTCTCGGCCCCTCATTTCGGTTTAATACCATTCGGTGTATCAATCACTGCTATTTTCTATTTTTGCACGCACAAAATTAATGGTTCCTTTGTTATTTTTGTTTTGGTTTAGGACTTTAGGTAGTGGGTGAAATCACTTGAGGGATCAATTTCGGTCTAATTAAGTTAGGCTCCAATTAGGACTGAAATAATGTCTATTGTTGAGGTTACTAATATTTCAATATTATTAATACGTTAATCAAATAATTTGAATTAGGTTGAGGTTGAGATGATTTGAATTGTCTGACATCTTTGTCCAATTTTAATTCAAATTGAGGTGGTCTTGAAATTTTTAACTCTATTCAACGACCAAGTTGGAATCAGGTTGAATGGGCTTTGTCCATCCAAGTCACAACCTTTATAAATTTAACAAAATTTACTTTTGATTGAAAATTAATGTTTGTTTTTAAGAAACAAAATCTATTAACCAAGTGAATTTTCGAACATTTTTTTCTTTTTTATTCAATTTGCAACTCGGTGAGAGAAAATAACATGAACAAGGTGAAAAGAATTTCCTATTTTTTCTAATTATTGGATAGCAATTTATTTTTTCCTAAATTATTGGGAAAAAAGATAAGAAAATTAAACAATTCTAGTAGTGACTTAAGAAATAAAAATTCTTTCTGTTGTGATATTTCTTTTATTTCATTCACTAAATTATGCAAGTGAGACAAGGCTCGGGTTCTTATGCTCAATGCACTCTTTGCCATTGAATTGTCTCACATTGATAACATATGGTTACATGAGCAATAAAGTATGGCTTTTCTAATTTTTCATCTCTTGGCTGGTGTTGTTGAAAGTTTGTGCACAGCGGAATGATTGTGAATATAATATGAATAGATAACATGAAAGAATGGTGAATAGATTTAACTTGCTATTTTATTTAATTTTTACATATTTTAATTTTGCGAAATAAAACTAAAATCAAATCACTAAGCAAAAATAAAGTGCAAGTAAAGTAAATAGAGTTTAAAAGATGACATCAGAATTTTAGTGAGAAAACCCCAATTGGTATAATAGACCAATTGTAACAGGAAAAATCTTGTTGGACTGTACAGTCCTGAGATAAACAATCCACTATGTTTGAAGCAAAGTATACCGAATTTTGACTCAGTCTCACACCCTATCGTTCTGTCAAAAAATAATTACTGACGATCCCTAACTTTGCGACTCCTCCGTCCAACCGTTCTCGACCTCAAGCTTACTCTTGATCTCTGTAGAAGAGTTGCAGGTAGATCAAACAACACTCCACGAATGCTTTGACCACTTCAAAGTGTAATCGCTTCACCCTTTTTCTTCTATATCTGAATTTGACGAAGAACAGATGAATTCTGCTTTTTTGGGATTTCTGAATCTTCAATTATGCTTCAATTCTGATGAGATAGAAAACAACACTAATAAATCACTCTTGTGTTTATGTGTGTGCTCTCAAAAATAAAATCAGAAAAATCAGATTGATTTTCTGAATAAAAATATCTCTCAAAGATGGCTTTTAATAGATTTGAATTTTGTATGCAAAAACTGCGAATAAACATATGTGTATGACAAGGTTTATATAGAGTTTAGAATGTCTTAGTCCCTTTGAAAATATGAAAAATTTGTGCACCGAACTTGGAACAATTTTAGACCAACTAGGAAATAATTCTGAAACAAGAAACTGAAAGTTGGATTACTGTCAGACTACTTGAACCGGTTCAGATGGGCTGAACCGGTTCAAGTTTGGCAGATTGGTTTTCGAATCCAATCTTGAAGCCTTGAACTGGTTCAGAGGGGCTGAACCAGTTCAAGTTGGCCAGAACTTGAAACTTGGTTCTTTTAAGCCTAAAAACACTATATGGTAAGTTTGAAATAACTAGCAAGTGTATAATGTGTCCTAATCTATTTAGAATCATTCCTAATATGTTGTTCTTACCTTTTTCTTCGAATGATCTCAGTTATGGTAACTTTGAATAACCTTCCAATTCCGCAGTCACTATCGATCCCGATATAGTAACTTGAATTACAACTCGATTAGGACTTATTTTGACACCGAAAATTGCCAATAACAAAATATATATTTTTCACAATCTCCCCAAAATATATATCTCACAAGTGTTTCATTCACTTTTTGAAAAGGGACTATTGTTAGGAGTATCTCTCTAAATGAAAAGTGAAATGAATATAAATTAGTGTGTATTTTTCATTACGCGCTCCGTCCAAAGGTGTTCAGGTCCGCCACCAAGGTAAGCAAGGTAGCGCGACCATAACAAAGGCATTGCAAGTTTGAATATGGAAGATTGTTAGAGGTGCCTCACATTGAATCCATATGAAAAATGAAATTTGTTTGAATTAGTATATATGCATTACCACCCCATAAGTTGAGCTTTTGCTTACAACAATTCTCTTCAAACGTCTTGCAATCACTATCAAACCACATGTGTTCAACAAGGATCAAGTTTTTTTTGAGTATAAAATGAGTTCCAAGTGCAAGAACTACAAAAATGTGTTGACTTCTTGATTTAATGGTGTTATAGTTGTTGGAATATATTTCAAAATATTTTTATAATATTTTAAAAACTATATATGTATATAATTAAAGTTTAATCATTTTAATTCATGCCCCTTTAAACAATAAAGTTTTTTATTTATTTCATGCATCAATAAATGAGACGTTTTTACACCAGGTGTTTTGTACCCTAATAGTACTTCTTTACCTTTCAAAATAAAAGATTGAGGGTTCAAGTCCTCATAGGGATAAAAATGAGTGTATGAGTGTGTGAGTGTGTTTCTTTTTCCATAAAAAGTTATACAAATTTTCATTAGTGTAATATATGAATTAATTCATTCAATATATATATATATATATTGAGGTTTGAGCACATTTATGACTCATTTAGATCTATATAATGAACACACTTACCTCACTCAAACACACATATATTAAGTTAAATCTCAACTCATACTAAAAAAAATCTCTTTTAATTTTCATAATTGGACATTTTAAATAAACTTAATTGCACTCAATAGTTATCATACAAATACATTATGGTTGGATCAAGTCCAATCTTAATTGAATCCCGGATATAGAGTTGACATGATCATTTACACCTTGTAGGAGATTTCGAGTATTATATAACTTTTGATTAGTGTAATATATGAATTAATTTATTAAAAAATAGTAATATGTTTTTTGAGGTTTGAGCACGTTTATGACTCATAGTGGGAGATCTATATAATGAGTACAACTTACCTCACTCAAACATATAGTAAGTTAAATCCCAACTCATACTCAAAAATTCTCTTTTAATTTTCATATATAATTGAGCATTTTGAAATGATCTTAATTGCACTTAATAGTTATCATACAAAATACATTGTGCCCTTGGATCAAGTCCAATCTTGATTAAATCCTGGATATAGAGCTGCCATGATCCTTTGCATATACCTTGTAGGAGATTTCAAGTATCTTTCAGAAGCTATAATGCAACTCCAATCTATAGTCCGAGTTCTCTAAAATTTTTATTTCCGTCAATTTGTAAATGCAAGTGATTTTTATGATTTGTCATATTTATTTATTTATTTTTAACAATTATTGCATTGGTGTTGTATATTCAATATAAATCTGTTGCATTAATATTACATTGTTATTTTATCATAATTTAATGCACCATTGATTTAACAATGCATAGGATAGACACAGAACATGCGATAAAAAGGAGATGGATTCATCAAATAAGTTCAAGTTCGAGTTCGGTATAAATGTGTTGCATTAATGTTACATGCATTGTTATTTTATCATAATTCAACGCACTGTTGATTTAATGGTGCATAGAATGGACACAGAACATGGGATAAAAAGGAGATGGATTCATCAAATAAGTTCATATTAGAGACTTAACACTGCAAGCATTAAGGGTGTTAAAAAAAATATATTTAAAATAGGACTTGATCGAGTTGGACATTGTGATTAGATCCTTTTTTAGGATGACAAACATAAATTATTTAGGGGTTTTTTTTTATACTTAAATTCCGTAATTTCGTATAGGTTTTGACAATGGTTTATTTAAATATATATATATATATATATATATATATATATATTAGAAATTGATCATATTTTTAGACCATTCTGCTAATCAACAAACGGTTCACTAAATAATGTTACAACTAAGAGTGTTTTCTTTATTTTTTTATTTCAAAACTACCAATTTCTCTTAAACTACCCTATTCACTTCCCACCGCTCTTGACACTTTAACATGAATACTTTTACAATAAGATAAAATCCTATTTGAGTTGTGAAAAAAAAATTTTTGGAAAACTCTTGCCCCTTCCACAGATAAAGTTCATTTTATGAATATTTTACGTACTCAGATTCAGTCATCAATGGATAAAAATAAATAAATCGAAACCTTTGTTGCACACTGTTAAAGTTACTATACTTGAGTAACAAGTTTTTCCTAATAGGACTAATTGATTGTTCTCATAATTTTTCTCCTATATAAAGGAGTTTTCACCATTGTATTGAATATGAAAAGATAGATTATTATAATAAAATATATGTAACCCTTTGGGTTTTGTGTTTCATAGACGTATGTCCTAGTGGTTGAACTACGTATATTTTTGCCTTGTGTTTTTCATACTTTGTTTCTATATTCAATTTTAACATGGTATCAGAGTAGATTTATTGTACCCTACTTTAGATCATTCTTCCGCTTATTTCATC